TATTTTATTGTTATAACTAATAGCCAAGGATAAAATAAAAAGTTTTAAATATCAACTTTTTTCTACTTGGTTGTTGCGCGAGGCCCCTCCAAGAGCGAGGCCCCGGGCGATTGCCCTGCTCGCAACCCCCTAAGGCCGCCACTGTTAATAGACACTCCTGAATAGAGAACACCTGTACTTAATGAACATTTTTACAATTCCCAGACCCTTTAAACAGGATACCTATTATATTTACTTCTAAATAGCAAACTCTGTCATTCATAACGAACTTAATGAAAACATAATGTCTCACCTTCAATATTCTGAAACAGTTAATGATGTAAGAAATATTTTACAACAAGAACAAAGAATTGGTTCAATAGCCATCAAATAAAGACTAGCTGAAAATAGGAATATGGGAGGAGGGCAAGTTGTGGAAAACTGAACAATACTCTTTATTTGTTAGAGAAAACTAATCTGATTAAGATCAGGGTCCATACAGACCTGGAAAGTCAGGGAATAAGATTTTTAGCAGAAAAAGTCAGGGAATCTGCAAATACTGCAGAATCCAGATATCTATTACTGTTTTCAATGATAAAATATAAAATGCCAAAAAGTAACTATGACATGAAATTTGTTAATGATTATTTCTTTATTTTTGTTATAAATTAGGCTGAAAATAAGTTACACCAGCGGAATCATACATTTGTCTAAAATACATGTCTAGCAGCTGTGGAACGTAATTTAAACATTCTTAGTTAGAATATAATAATTGCATAAAAAATGTTGGAAATAACAAATTTTATAACTGTCTTACTGTTTTCATTATTTTTAATGCAGGTTGAAATTACAGTCGTAGGACCTTTGACTTATAATGAAACTAAAGTTTATCTTTTTCGATTGGTTGATGTATTTTCAAAATGGATGTGCTTTCACAAATTAAATAGTTTAGATCCCAAAGAAATTAGCAAAATACTACTGAAAGAGTTCTCAGTTTTGGGGTTTCCTGTTGGTATACGTTTAGTGGAGTTAGAAAATAGTGAAGAAATAATTAGTCTGTTTGAAAATGAAATAAAAGAATTTATTAAGAAAACAAAAGAAGTTAATAAAATATTTAACAATGATGACTTGACAAATGACTTGAATAGTGGTGAAGTGGATTTGCATCAAAATGAAATTGATCACAGTCCAAAGGTTAACAGTGAATGTTCAAATTTACCTAATTCTGAAGAATTAACAAACTGTCCAGTAGAAGTAAATGGTGATGGTAATAATAATAGTAACAGTAGTATTGGTGACAATAATGAAACTGGTGACACCAACAACAATGACAATGGTGATAATGACAACAATAGCAGCAGCAGCAACAACAACAACAATAGTAGCAACACCAATGAAGCAGATATTACACCTGTTGAAAAAACTGAAGAACAAAGTGACTTCAAACCTGATGAAATCAAAACTACAGAAATAGAAGTAGAAGAAGCTAATAAAGAATCTGTATCAGATTTAACTAATTCAATTCCAAATGGATCAGATTCAGTACTTCAAGAGAATACTTTAAATTCTACATTAGAAAATGAAATATTGCTTCAGAGAATTAATGAGAGTGATGACTTTCTTATTAACAAAATAAATGATTTTGAGATATTTCTTGATAACCAAAATGAAGATACTAAACCATTCATTTATATTTTTATTGGAGAGAAAAGTATTGTTGATAGTGAAACTGAAAATCTGTACAAAGACAAACTAGAGAAATTTATTAATCATTTTCCAGATTTATGGGTAGAATATTTACCCAATTTCATTCTAAATGTTCAAAGTTCTGCATCAAGTTCATTTCAAACACCAAGTCAAGTGATGTTTCATCGAGAACCTAATTTAATAGGACTTTTTGAAAGTTCATATTTGAATCATTCAATTCAGTTTCTTGGCAACAGTGTTGAAAATCAGCCTCCTGTAAAAAATGATGTTGCAAATGGATCTTGCAAGGTAAGTTTTTTTTTAATTATAACTGTTTATTTTACCTTTATACACACATACACACATGTACTGTACAGTACAGTATGTACATAAATCAGGGATGCACAACCTGCAGCCTGGGGGCCACATACAGCCCCTTTTCAATGTTTATGTGGCCCACAGAAGGTACAGGCCAAATCCCTTCTTTCATGTGTGTCTATGGATTACTCACTCCATTGTGATATGGGTCCTGTTACTTTAATGCAGTGAAACAAACCCTTCCTATGTTATGTCTATAGAGAACCTTTTCCACTTGATTGGATAAAATTATTACTTAAACTCCTTTTAAGCTCAGATTGGTACTTTCTGGCTTGAAAGACTTGGCTTTATCCAATAAAAGTAACCGAGAATCTGATGCCTGGGAAAATTGCTACCAAAACCATGCCCCCTTTGACTATACCAATCAGATTCTAGAATGTAAACAAATGCTAAAAAATTGCTATTTTCGCTTATTTTTATGTTATTTGATGCTATTTAGACAAATAAGCAAGTTTTTTAAAGCATAAAATTGAAAATTTTCCACCAAAATAAAAACTTCTTGATAACACCAGAAATGACATTCTAACATCACTTATTCTATTTGATTTTTCTAAAAATCGTTATAATACTATGTATTAGACCTAAAATATTTGATATCTAAACCAGAAAGTGTGTTAGCTAGAAATAGAGGAACTTCAACTGCTCCCATTTCTCACATCAGGGAAAGTCATAAAACAGTTGGGTGCTAATGACTTTGTGAAAGGGAAAACTTTCTATACTTAGAAAGTTCAAACTGTTTGGGAGAGGAAAAACTTATCTAGCTAATAGATAAAAAGAAAATGGATTCAATTTGATACAAATTTTTTTTGCCTAGTACGTAGCAAAGTGAGTTTCGTGAGAGAAATTTTACCACTAAATGTTTCAGATAAAACATTAATGGCTTTATTAAATAGTTAGTCAACATAAAAATTAGAAAAATTAGAGTTAAAAAACAGAAAATATAGCTACTTTAGTTTGTTTGTTTACAAGCAGACTTGGATGAAAGAGCTCCAGTGAGTAAACGTCTTTCCATAGACTAACAATAGAAAAAAATTTTTCACACCAAAATTTTTAATTATTACATTGGACCAAGAAAATTAATAGTTGAAGTAGAGTCATATGACTAAAAGGAAGTTGGTTGCACTAAAAAATTTTGGATTTAATAATAATTTCAAATTGCGTCAAGCCATAAACTTCCCATGATTGTCAACACTGGCTGCAGCTAAAGTAATTAGACTCCTTGTGACAACAAAGAGTGTTGTAAAATGGTCTGGCCCCTAGTCAGTAAACTTAATCCTAACCTGGCCCTTCTTCAGAAAAGGTTGTGCATCCCTGCATAAATGTACAGTATATACACACACATAATAGAATACATTTTAAATTTTACAAATAAAATTTTTTTTGTAAATTTACAAATACAAAACAAATTACAAATCTTTGATATGCAGTAAATAATATAAAATATTTTTAAGAGAGACATTATATTGAACTAATTTGTAGATTTGACACGTCTCTATCTAATGAAGTTGCATTTCTTATTATTGTTACTAGAACTATTTACTGCATGCAATACTTTCTTAACAGTCACTTAATCACATGAATGTTTTGTTTTTTGTCACACTTAAAATCATTGGTAAATGATGAAGAGTATTTAAAATTAATTTTAGAGTGACAGATATTTTTTGTGTTGTAAACAGATACTTTCAAATTTTATTTTGTATCTCTTTTATACTTGTTTTCTTCCTACTAGAAAATCATGTTTCCCAAAGAAAATATTTGTTACAATAAAAATAATTTAAAAATGCTAATTCAGTCCAGTGAGTGTATTAAAATGATGAGTTTAAAAATTAAGTTAAATATTATTGAAAAATGTAAAAAAAAAGAAAACACTGGCATGCTGTAGATTGTATAATGAAGATAGAATATGGTATGATAAAACATTATACCAAGACAAAAAGTGCGCACACAATAAATTAGAGCAATGTTGCAAGAGTTCATGAAGGTCCTAAATAGAATTTTGTGGAAAACATTTACTGATGAATGAGAATTCAATAAGATACCTGGTGAATTCTTACTGAAATACAAATGTCAATTGATTAACAGAACAAAAAAAAAGCTCATAGCAATAACTCTAATTTATACAAAAAATATTAGTTTGGTCACTAGAATAATTCTAGGAAGAATTTGAAAAGTTACAGTTCATTTCCTTTTTATACATTTAGTGTGATTGAAGTCCAAAAAATTGTTGGCTAATAGATATCTTCATGTTCAAGAAAATCACTTACTAACATATTTTAGAAAATTGATTAGCTGCCAGAATGTTATAAAACTGTAAATTATATGATCTTCAAGTTTAACAAGTAAAAACTAACAACTAATTAAAATTAATGAATAATAGCAAGTAAAAATTGAATTTTTACTTGTTAGTATTCAGTGTTCAATTATTTGCTCATAATCTGTTAAGGCTGGAGTCTATGTAATTTTGGATGAAAGTATTTTCTTAAATATAATGTTACACATTATATTATTATTTCACCACATAATGTTGTACTGATTTTACTGTAATTTACTAATTAATTTTTTATGTATAAATATATTTATTTCTATAAATAGAAATTGTGGATAAACATTGCTTTAAAGAAATCTTTTGTAAGATTTTAGACTATTGTCTACATTAGCAGAATATCTCTAGATATGAAATGGTGTGTCTCACATCAACTGAGTTCTTTGTAATGTTGTATTTCTCTGGTATTGTAGGCATAAGTTTGGGTTCTGTTCTTTCAGATAAACATGTGACAACTAACACTCTGTAGACTGAATCGGGGTTTCTTTTTGTCTTGTGGAAGTGGATAAGTGGATGGGATGCAAACTATCAGTTTATTTAGTTCTATTTCATAAAGTCTGTATATTGTTAATCTTGAAATACACACACACACACACACACACAATTTAATGAAGAAAGGCTAGAATGAATTGTGTTGTTGATATTTGTCTATGGCATGTCTTCTTTAAATGTTAGAAAATTAATCATGTTTCCTCTTAGTCATTGTGGTCTTGATAATTGGTATACAGTGAGACCCCGCTTAATGCGGGGGATATGTTCCTAGACAACAAAGTGCTAAGCGAAATAGCGTTAAATGCGGTTATTTTAACATAGAGTAAATAGGGATAGGGAACACGTGACCAAAAATAAACAAATTTTACTTTAATTTTAAGTTATTTTTATATTAATTTGTATAATAATATATGTTAAATAACACAAACATATGCACACAGAAATGTAAAGTTAATTTTTTTGTGATGAAAGTCCTGACTTTTCTTGTTCTTTTGCAATTTTCATTTGTCACTTTTTTCTTTCCTTAAGCAAATATCGGTAGCAGAAGATTGCATCCAAAACACCTTGTTTTGTTTTTGGCTCCTTTCAAAATCTGGATCATTCACTACAATTTGATGAATGATTTTGCTTATCTTACCAAACTTTTACTAAGGAAATCTGCAGAAAAATTTTTTGGGTTCTTCATTTTCAGAACCTCTATTTCCAGTTCCATGTGAATTCCATGTTCTGCAGTTTTTGAAGGTTGTCATTGGTAAGGCTCTCACCAGAAACCTGCGGTAACTCCTAAATAGCCTGCTCGTCTATCTCCTAGTCCTGCTATATCGATTAGGTTGTGTTTGGTCAACCTAATGATACAGTGATAGGCTCTTCTCATTGAGAATCCTTGGATACCTTTAGCCATAACTTCTTCCACACTTCATTTGTGCATTTATCAGTTAATTCTTGCCAAGCAAAGTTGATATTGCCTATGGCATCCATGATGATATATTTTTTTCCAAAATTGCACCAAACAAACATAGATTTAAAGAAGGTATATCTTTTTGCCACCTTTTGCTGGTTGGTTTGTGTTCGCAAATAATTGTATTATATACGAATCAATGAAATGCCGCAATAATTTAAATTGGCGTAAATTTTGAGCTTGTTTTTTTTAAAAAAAACAAGCTCAAAATTATTATTAATTGGTGAAATTAAAATTATTATTAATTGGTGATGTTCAAGGAATTTCTTGTACAAGGTCAATTAGAATTAAAATTTCAATTTAGACTTCAAGCAGACTGTGTTATATTGAATTAGCAAGAAAAAAGTGACTATTTACTCTATGTTAAAATAATAAGTGTAAGGCAGTACAGCAGTCAATTTTCCATATACCAATGTGACAAGTGTACGCTTCTCAACTCTAATGGAAATATGGATGAAAAGAAACATAATTTATCTCAGTATGATCTAGTTCCTTAGTTATGTTTACTATATTCTGGTTAATTCTAGAAATGAAGTATTTATACATGTCCTCTGTATTCTGTGTTATGAGATAATCTGCTACACAGATTATCTCATAACATAATTGGTGATGTTCAAGGAATTTCTTGTACAAGGTCAATTAGAATTAAAATTTCAATTTAGACTTCAAGCAGACTGTGTTATATTGAATTAGCAAGAAAAAAGTGACTATTTACTCTATGTTAAAATAATAAGTGTAAGGCAGTACAGCAGTCAATTTTCCATATACCAATGTGACAAGTGTACGCTTCTCAACTCTAATGGAAATATGGATGAAAAGAAACATAATTTATCTCAGTATGATCTAGTTCCTTAGTTATGTTTACTATATTCTGGTTAATTCTAGAAATGAAGTATTTATACATGTCCTCTGTATTCTGTGTTATGAGATAATCTGCTACACAGATTATCTCATAACATAATTGGTGATGTTCAAGGAATTTCTTGTACAAGGTCAATTAGAATTAAAATTTCAATTTAGACTTCAAGCAGACTGTGTTATATTGAATTAGCAAGAAAAAAGTGACTATTTACTCTATGTTAAAATAATAAGTGTAAGGCAGTACAGCAGTCAATTTTCCATATACCAATGTGACAAGTGTACGCTTCTCAACTCTAA